AAAATTCCAAACCTACATTCCTTCTTTTTCTCATTTGCATTGGTGAACACATTCTTGATGAATGTAGTTATTCAATGACACTCATTCAATGCATCTCAATACAGAAGGTAGGTTTATTCAGATGCAAATTAACACCTGTTATATGTTGGTTGTGATTATTTAATTTGTCACCTGCTTATGATGCTAAGATTATTAGTGAAACGCTAAAAGATGACAACAACTATGTGATCTATGGAGAGAATGCTTTATTTCTGGTGTAGAAAAAGAGTTTCTATTAGATTCATTTCAAGCCAGAGATTTTAATTTTGTCTATCGAATTATTCGACTTAAAACTAATTAATACAGTTTATTGTATGATTTTCACTATAAAGGCTTTTACTAAAACCGCTACGCTTGTAAGCGTGAGTTAACGATAGTGAAAATCATACAATAAACTGTATTAATCAGTTTTAATATGGATTTTCATCTAGAATCTGCCTCTTTTCAATTATTCGCCTTATATAGTGAGACTAAAGTAAATTGATGACGTTGCAGTGGTGCCCTTCAGGGATATCACAAAAATCTGCAGCAGTGTTATTCCTGTTATAAAAAAATCAAACAAATTATGTCGAAAACAATAAAATTTTACAAAAAATTTAAACTTTTGAACGAGTCGCACACAAAGCACAGCAATTCGCCCCAAGATGTTGGTAACACTAGCTCTTTGGCGTATCAAAACTGACAGGTGGCGTATCACCAGATCTCAGAGTAACAAAAGACAATAGAGATGCCTCTTCCATTCTTACATTGAAGGCAGCATAACTTTGTTTACGGGAAATAAGTTGGACCATAAAACAGTGGCGGCTGATTCAGTTAATAATCGGAGGGATATTATATATTTATAAAATAAATCATTTCAGGTGAAAATGTATTCTGTTTAAATAGTTCGTACAGAAAATCTGATTTATTATTAACGATTATGGAAATGAGGCAGGGTTTTCTACCACTTACTAGATTTTTATTTATGTATGACTTTATAATAAAGCGCGTGGTTTACTTGGTTAAAATTAAAT